GGGGGGACACCCCACGCTATAGGCAGCAAGGACGGGGTGGGGGGGACTCGTCCTTCTGTGTCACCGCGTGGCCTCGCGGTGCCCTTGGGGACAAACCTGGGCCACACACAGGCCCCAGGCCAGGCTTCCCCCTGCCCTTCCCCTCCCTCCCGCCCTGGCAGGGCAGACGGGACATGTCGGGGAAAGACGGTTCCTCCCACCCGTTTTAGGATGAGAAAAAATGAGCCTTTTCACCCCAAAGTGACCCGCAGAGTTTGGACTGAGGCTGTGTGACCTGTGTGACTGTGGAGGCTGCACATGCAGCAACATCGCCTGCACGGGCATGAGATCCATCCTTTCATATCGTGCATGGCTACAAAATGAGGGCGATAACAGCATCTTGCTGATTTAGGATGCCTGGAGCTCGGTTAGGGGGAAAAAAATACCCATCCTCCCAGACACAACAAGCGTGTAGTGGGAGAGAAAGAAATAACCCGGGCAAATGAGACTCCAGTAGGAGAGAGTGAATCAGCATCGGAGATATTTATGCTTTAAGGTGATTATCTCAGCTCCCGTCATTAACATGATGCCAGCAGACTGTGCGAACAGGGTGATGCTGTAGATGTCTGCACTTTCTTTCACGAAGACGGGAGAAGGGGGTTATTTGTGGCGTGCGAGAGCTGAATCTCCTCCTTGCTGACGCGATGGAAACGGGTCGTGTTGGTGGCACGTCCTCGTGCTGTTTGCTACGGAGAGCACTCGAGCAAATGGCAGCGCAGTTCAAATCTGCGAGCGCGGAACGGGCGAACTCCACGCACGGATGAGTCAAGAGCTTCCCTACGTGGCTGCTTGCTTTCCCAACAAGCTGCTTGAAAAACAGTGGTTTATTGGGTCGTTTATCTTGCGTGAAATATGTTAAAATCTGGATATTAAAAAATCCCATTATTGTGAGGTCATTTGTGCCTTGGCTGAGCCCACCGCCACAAGAAGAGAGGGAGGGACCTCTCAATGTCCCACGTGGGATCCCCCCAAAAATTCCCACCGTCCCCAATGCACCTACATCCCACTGGGACACAGTGGGTTATCCCTCTTGCAGCAAATCCCTGGGAAGATCAAGTGGAGCTCCGGGAATGCTTTAGGGATTCCCAAATCCCCCTGAGCCCTCCCAGTGTGTGAGCGATTCCTTCCAGCCTTTTGCTGCCAGGACACATGAGATGTGGCCTCTCCGTCTGCTGGTAGTGGCTAGAGCAGAACTGTAGAAAAATGCTGGGAGAAGCCAGGTTTTCTGCCCTCCGGAGTCATACACATCCCTGAAGTACTAAGCCTGTGATGGGCTAAGTCAGACAAGTAACAGAAATCACACAAGTCTGTGCCTCTCAGAATCACTTTGGTTCCCTACTATTATTGCCAAAGTACCCAGATTTAGAAAAAAAAAACACATAAAGAATGCTTTTTTTTTCTTAGGACTTCATGAGTCTGTAATTGCTGAGTCTTCATGATACTTCTTCCTTGCACTTTATCTTCCCTTCTTGCTCCTCAGCTCACTTGGGGCTTGGTGATCCGTGAGTCGCAGTCAGCAGGAGGTGGGTGATGAACTCCTGAATCCACGTTGTCCACAGATCCAAGAGCTCTGCCAGCTCCTGAGAGCATCCAAAGCCAGCTAAGGAGGAGGAAGCGGCGCCGCGGGCAAATCACAACATTTATAGCATTTATTTATCGACTGTTTACCACCAGGTGTCATCAGCAGAACAGGCATCGCTGCCGGCTTTGGCGTCTCCCAGAGCTTTGCTCTTGCCTCACTTCATCAGAGGACTGTGAGCAATTGCTGGACTAAGAGGACTAACATATGTCTTGATTTCCACTGTATTGCAGTGTGCATAACTGCTGCCACTTGGAAAAAGGACCCGTAAAGACCTGGATTCATCTCACTTAGCTGAGATGTCTGAGTTAAAAGGAGGAAATTGCTTTATAATCCTAGGTGGTCAAGGGAGAGGAGCAAGCGCATCCAGGAGACACTGCAGCCCCATGGGGACCATCAGAAAACATCCCTGGAGGTGCCAGCCATCGGGGACACAAGTCCCCAAGAACAGCCAGTGCCTTCTTGGCACGGCCAGGAGCACCTGTGGGCCCTGTTCAGTGTCCTGCTGCCTGTCTCTCATTATGGCCTGTCTGCCGTGGTTTAGCAGAGGTTGCTAAATTTAAAAATAAATAATAAGTTTTTGCATATTCATGGGGAAAATAAATACTCCAGGTGCTTGATGGATTGAAACACAGATTTAATAAAATATTTTTCAAAAAGGGTGAAAACCACAGTTGTCCCGTTTTCCTTTCAGTGCTTTAACTTTCCTGGTCTTGTTGTGCTGCTTCTAGCTGCAAACCCACCCTTTCCTGGCAGACGGCCTCAGCCACAGTCTCCGTCAGGATCCCATTAAAGTTCCCGGGTCTCCTTGCCTGGCTGTCCTGCTCGGAAGGTCACACCAACACCTCTCTTGTACAGCAACAGGAAGATATCTTCAAATTTCCAAAGGAAATTTATTCCAGGCCAATATGCCCCTATTTGATCTCCTACAAGTATTATCCCTTAACTTAAATCATTCCCCTCCTCTCCCTCCCTGAATGTATTTATGAAGAGTAATCATATCCCCTCTTAGCCTTTGTTTTTCTAGGCTAAACAAGCCAAGCTCTTTTAATCTCCTCTCCTAAGATAGGTCCCCTGTTCTGCTAATCACCCTGCCAGGCCTTTTCTGCACCTGTCAAGTATAAATTCATCTTTTGCTTTATCGAAGGGAGGGCTCAGGAGGATGTGGAATATCCTGCGCGAGGTCTTTGCGGTGCCTCGTATGCTGTGACTAATATTTCTCCACGTCCACCCTCAACAAGTGCTTGGCCTTCTAGATTTGGAAGTCGCATGAGCCTTTT